AATAAAGAACAAAATATGGTTATAACCCTCATACACCCTAGGTTTTGGGCTTTCTGCTCAACAAGTGTGGGGTCCAACACTGGTTGGCGGCAAGTTCTGAGTGCTCAAAGGTTGTGGATGCCCCTGGAGAACGAGCTCTCTGAGGATCACGTTTATGGTCACTAGCCCTGATGGCAGCATTCAAAACTGCTGGAGTGTGACATTTTCCACAGTTCCTCCCTGCTCTGGCCCGAGACAAAGAGCTGGAGACAGACGGCGCCTGCAGGAATAGCCCTATTGAGAGCCAACTTCAGGAGAAAGCAGAGGCTGTTTTAGACAGATATTTGATGTTGGTTGAAATGAATGATATAAGAACCAAGGAGGAGATCTTTAAGTCTGATTAAGAGAGAAATCTTTAAGTCTAACCAGGAGTGCACGGTTTGTTCAGTGTAAGTGAGAACCTGACCTGCTCACACGGTCAGAAGGGTCTGAATAAAAAGCTGGAAGCAGTACGACACTTAAAGCCATCTGGAATGCAAAAATGTAAATGTGTGCTGGATAGGCTGTCATGCCATGCTGACAGCCTCACTAGGCTAACTGATAAAGCTCTTTATAAATAGTGGAATATTAGGCCTAGATGCCTTAAAAGAGATTATTTGCTGACTAATTATCCTCCCAAAGGTTTATCCTGGGGGTGTGGTGAGGTACCTCTGACCTTTACTTTGGAGTTCCTCAGAAGAGAATAAAGTTACAACCACCCATTGAGGATGCAAAGTGCCCATCCCACGGCGAAGCCACAGGTGGGCCATATTCTTGGAGCAGCCCGTGCTCTTGGGCTCTTTCGTGCTCTTTGCTCTAAGACCCAAGTCGTACAGGAGGAGGTTTGGGGTCTCTTGCACCTGATGGCCTTGTGTTCCTGCAAGGAGAGCCCGTATTAGTTACCGCTCCAGACACAGCTGCAGTGTGTATGTGGATTTCCCTCCTGTGCAGGTTAAATATGAAATGGTTCCTGTGCCTTTTTATCTTTGTAAAAATGTCCTATGAAGATATGGTGCTCAAACAGAATTTTTTCTCCAACAGCCCAGGTAGTTACCACAGTACATTGAGTTAAACACGTGTATATTTTCTGTTACAATCTACTCTGAGGCTTGTAAACTGTTATCTCCATTTTCTTGCAGAATCTTCCTGAGTCTTTTCCAGGGTCTAAGCACCTGTGGGCGCTCATCTCTGCTGTGTTCTAGCCCCTTCCCCAAAACCCAGGCTGCCTGGCTTTCATTTCTGCAGCCAAAGAGCTCCTTTAGCAGTGGAATGAATCCAACCAAGAGGTGGTGGGAACAGGTAAGGACCGTGAGGCAATAGCTGCTGTTAAGTTCCTGCAGAGCTACTTAAAAGGGGAGAGGAAGGCAGCTAGATAACTTTATTGAGGACAGTTCCAGAAAAATGGGACAGTTGGCTCTGGAGAGGCAAAAGAGAGTACAAGGACTGTTCTTAGATCTCATTTCTTGTTTTGATCCACACAAAACATTGTGCATTTTATTCTTGCCTAGATTTACTTCTCGTGTGTAAGAAAACAGTGGTTGCATTTATTTGAAAAACAAAAAACCCACAAAGACATTCACCACCCCCCCCCCCAACAATTTAATGTGAATTAAATGGCTTCCATTGGCCAACTACTTAAGGAAATATGGGAATATGATCAGACTACAGTCATGGAGTGGTTTTTGGTAGTGGCAATGATGGCAAACCCTGAGATGGCTTCCAGGTAGAAATAAAAGCATGGGATCATCTGACACAACCATACCATCCAAATGATTTTAGTCCCAAAAGCAGTAATTTTGTTGGTTGTTAATAGACAAATCTGTTGGCCTGTACTTGAGGACAAGAGAGAGAGATCTGAATGTGTTTGGGAAATGTAACTGTGTCCTGGGAGTCTGTGGAGGTGGAGGCTGTGCAGCAGCCACTACAGAAGTGTGTGCCTGGGAAATCTGGGCCTCTCCGAGCCACCACCCACCCTGCAGTTCTGGCTTCATGGAATTAAGCACTGCAGAAATCTCCAATGGAGCCAGCAAGGGGGTATAAGCGATTCTCTTTAGAGAGAGCCCAAACTTTGAGAGCTTCTTCTGACTCTAGTAACCATTCTTGGCTGGAAGAACCAATTCATGTAGCTGTTATAGCCCTCTCATCTACATGAGTTAACGAGTTTTACTCACTAGATATGAGGGTGAAATGAATTCTGCTCAGAGAATAGCTCCACACGGGTGCCAATTCCATCACATTATGTAAATAGCCTGTAACTAATAGAGAAGCCTATGAAATGAAATAAAAGACATCAGTCAGTGCATTTGCATAGAAACCAAGCTATATGCCAAAGGAACCTTGTTTAAAAATGAGTGATAGCAGACAAGTTAATTCTAAGGTTGCCATTGTGGAACATTTTAAAGCGTCTTATTAGCATAGAATTGAAAGGACAATGTTGTTTTGTATTTATGGTCTATGAGGTGCCACTAATTACATCTGCAGTCCCTCTGACCCTTTGTTGTGAGGTTACTCAAAGCTTTGCTGTAGATTTGCTGTCCTCTCAGAGTCCTATTCAAACCCATGAATAAAATCAAATATTTATATGATGAAGCAAACTTCTTCATATAAAACTAGTAGCTTGGTTTATCACCCATCTACTGTGATGGGCCTGGTGAAAGCGGGGACTTGTGATTAAAAAGCAGAAAAATGTGAGTCTGTAAATGTGAAGAATGATTTTTCTCCTGAAGGCCAAATCCTATTTTATCTTCATTAAATAACACCCAGAACTGCAAGGAAGAAGGTGGCTGTGTTGTGTTGGCCACTCTGTGCATCTTGTAAAAGAGCCCTAGCCCCACACAGTCTGCGTGGGGAACAGGAGGAGGGCGTTGGGAAAGGAGGTGCAAGGCTTAGAGGACTTGTCATACTTAGACCATGATCGTCTGTGAGTCCCGAGGCAACGTTTTGGCTAAAAGACCTCTCTATCAGTGGGGATGTTTTATCATCTTTCTACTTTGTGTTTACATAGGCCATTTCAACCTGGAGAAAGTGTTATAAATGTTTTTAAATGCCATTTGTGCCTACACGAATGCAAAGGTTTTTGATGCATTTACAACAGCGTAATGGGGACATAGTGTGGCAACTTGTGTGTGGATTCGTTTTAGTGGGGTTTTTTTGTTTGTTTTGTTTTGTTTTTGTTTGTTTGTTTGGGTTTTTTTGTTTGTTTGTTTGGGTTTTTTTTAAACTTCAAAGGATCCCAAATGCTGAGGCAAAACTCCTGTGGCATCTCTGTGAAACTCTGACACCCTTCCTGGGCAACGGGCAGCACGTGCCCTTGCTAGTCTGAAGCTGTGCATCTTCTGATCAGGTAGCGCAGAACCGAGCAGGTTCTGCTGCCTGTGTCACCTTTCAGTGGGGGTGGCGATGTGCCTTTCTGTCTTCTAGCCAGCCACTGTTCTTCCAAAGACAGGAGGGTAATAATCCGTGAGACATCTATTCTTTCAAATTCGGTCAAGACTGGCCAGTGGCCTAAATGTTATCAGGGTCAAAAAGACAGAAACGTAATGGTACAAACTTTGTTTCTATAGGAAAGTAGGTTAAAGTCGAGATGTGCTTTGAGAGGCATGGAGCAGAGCTTAATAAATAAGAACAATGCCATCACATAACATATTGTACTTGCCCTCTATGGCCACATTTCTGTAAGTATGTAGCTACCTGCCTTGCCATAATTTCTATTTCTTTCTAGAATCTGGGTAAGATTCCGACACTTCTTAAATGCAAAATTTATCTCCCTGGAAGTGAGCTCTAGTGTTTTTCAGAATTGCACCCGTTGCAGTACAGTTTAGTGCCATGTTAATTTACAGTTATGTCGGGGTGAAATATTCTTGCCTTGCAATTGATGCAGCTGTGATGGAACTTGAAAAAAATATAATGCAAGAAATGGAACCTGGGTATCATTGGCCACTTGTAGAGGATCAGGATTGGATAGAACAAAACCATCACATCTTCAAGGCTGGAATCTGCCCCGGTAATACGTGTCATTGTTAAATCCCAGGAGTTTCTACCATACTTGATAAAATAGTGATAATGCAGGTAAGCGTGGTATGAACATTTTGGCTTAAGCAGGGTAAATCAGAAGTATCTTTCTCCTACTTAGGTACTGATGAATTAAAACAGTAGTAGATGCTGCTTTGGAAATGAATCTGTATCTACTGGGCTGCAATGCAGCACTCGGAAGAGCTCTTTCAGTATTTGTGCTACAGATAAAATTTCCTGAGCTGCTGAACTTCCACTCTGACAAATTGCACAGATTATTCAACGTAGCTGCAAAATGTCGAAGAAGACACTATTGCAAACACATTGATTATATTTGAGTGCAAATCATAAAGTACCATAGCAAAAAGCTGCTCTGCCCTTGAGGCATAGATTCACTTGAAACCTTCCTGCTTTATGATTCTGTCCTTCTCCACCAAAAAGTATGTTAGCACCATGAGCCCTGAGAAGAAAGCTGTCTAGCTATTTTTGTCTTTGTCTCTTCTGGAAACAGTAAACATCTAATTCTTAACTGATCTCTCTTTATCTAATAGGTGAACACGTGAAATACTAAACCATTTCCAGAACTGTTTGTATGAGAACCATGCCGTCAAGATTATAAGCAGTAAAATTCACCAGCCGGGCAACGTAGCAGTTTTATACAGTGTAATATTTATTTATCAGTAGATGGGAGGAATTAAAGTATTTAAATAACACAGAGCAATGGCACTGCTTTTGTCCATGTACATAGCTGCAGTCGATAATCAATTGAGCTCTCTGCTCAAGGGAATCATTTTCACAAGAATGCCATTTTCCAAATATCTAACTCTAGTTCTATGTGCTTACAGTTAAACCAATCAACCATAAAATACAGATACATATAAGGATATAATAATAACAAGGATGTTTATAAATATATTTGTCTGGTCTGCATGTCTGAACCACTTGAACAAAGCTCTGATACAGTTTTTTTTAAAAAATCCATCGCTGCTCAGACTTTGTTTGTACATTTGAATAGCATTCTCGAGTTCAGATTCCCCCTCTAGCTTTCCATAATTAACTCCATGTTTCTGCTCCCCCGAGGAAGCTCACAGTCCTCCATCCAGTTGGATCAAGTAACGACAGTCTGGTGAGCAAGGCTTTTACAATTTTGTCTACTTGCTATACCAATAAAATAAGGGAAAATAAAGTTATCCTCAGCATTACCGAACACAGGGCAACATTTGTCAGTTTAATATTGTGACTTGAGCAATCTTTAAATATTGCATATTGCACAGTTACATACATCACCGTCACATAGCATGTTGAAGTCCATAATGCTTATGTGTTAAAAATAAGTAACTTCTCTTTGTTTGTTCCTATTCCTATCAAAGTCAATTCCTTCTGACTCGTCTGGAAATATCAGAATGCATATAAAGCCAGGGGATGTAATGAGAGAACATGCAGTGTGAAGGGCGACGTCTTCGAGACAGTGATGATAGTCTGTTCAGATGGCAACGATTTTTAAAAGTGCAGCAGTAAGAAAAGAGATACTTGATAAGGGAATGCTCAGAACAGAAATGAGGCATCAGCACTTGAGCCAAATGAAAGTGTAAGGAAGAAATGACAAGAAGAAATCATGGCACAAGTATCATTCACGTTTGATTCTGAAGGAGTCTCACTGCTCAGACAGCTTCCACCTGGTAACAAAGAACCCTCTTATGCCAAGATTCAGACTGGAAAAATTGATTGCTTAACTCTGACCAGGATGGCAGGAGTAGACAATTGGTGTTACAAAAAGCAATAACTATTTTTTTTTTCTTTTTTTCCCCAGCTGTTTAATGCCACAGATAGTACTGCCCAAGCTCTTGTAGGGCGAGACAGTAAAGGGAGACCATCCGTCAGCATCCCTGGCCTTCTCATAAGGTCAAAAGAGTTTTTGCTGCCCACTGACCACAGTTTAGACTATTTCTCATTTCATGGCTGTATTTAAACCACCGGGGGCATGATACTAAAAGCACTTCTGCTGTAAAACTATGTGTACTTGGACGTGCCTACGGGATGGGAATACTGGTACGGGAGTCACTTAGGCCAAGTGCACACATGGGAATCTCAGCTGGGCCTGATTCAGACACTAAATACTGTCTGAAATGTTTGCCACGATGAGAACTGAGAGTAATCTGAACTGTTGTGTCTAATATTAATAAATTAGATTATATTGTGAAAGTCGTGTGCTTGTAAATTGCTTTAAGCATGGGCCCTGAAGCTGTAAACAGGGTGCTTAAATATGAAGTGGTGGTAGAGATTGTGTTCCAAACTCAGAGAAATCCAGCTGATAACCCTGCCTCTAGCAGATATGCCACTGTAATTTGTTAAAATGCCCCGTTCAGTGAATGATTTTCTGAAAATATTAGATGGCTTCCTGTATGGGTCCTGGAATCTCCAAGAAAAGTGAAAACCCTGGATCAGATTTGCTCTCAATTAAGCAAGTGAAACGGAGATATTAAATCACTTGATTACCCTGGAGTCTCACCGATGGAGCAGAGAACCAACTCCATCACCTCTCCTTCCCCGAGGCACGCACCAGCCACTCGGAGTACTCACAGCACCTCGGCAGCGTCGCTGACTGTAGCTCACTGCTTTCTACTGGGCTCAGCGCCTCTTGTGCTGAACAGCCAGCTGGGTGTATCAGCAAGAAAGGGAGCCCAGTGACAGATGTTTGGAGTTAATAGAAACAATTAATACTAAGGTACTATCAACAGTCTGATCATTAGTTTTTATCAGGTATTTATCTGTCTCCTATTTTTTTTTTTTATGATGCACAAGGCAGGTGTTGAAGTTATGTTTTATGCGCTTCATGGGTGTGATATTTGATCCAATGAGGAAAAAAAATACTAAATTATGCCAAAACTATACCTGTCACTCAAATACTTGATTACCATGACAGTAATTCTGCCATCCTTGCTCCTGTGAGTAGTGCTGCCCTTACAACTTCAGTGGGGTCCCTGATAGATTTCAATGGGGTCTTTTTGCTCAGCGGGAGTCAGGAAACATTTAACAACCCAGCACATCTGCAAGAGCTTGTGAGGCTCTTCCCACGGATCTCCTCTGGTAGTAGAGTAATGCAGACACTTTGCACTAATGCTGTAGCAACAGGACAAGAGAACGGTGACCTGACAGAATCCTGCAAGAACTGTATGACTACAGAAAACGATGGTCCCTATCCAAGAGAATTTTATAGCCTTAAGGTATGTTTCATCATAGCTGAATCATCAAGGAGCTGATTGTAATCTGAATGTTAATTCTTTTTGCTTAAGTGGGGCATCAGTAAATCGCTAAAGTTAGAGAATAAATTACAAGAAATTTTATGTACGTGTTGAAACAAGCGTGATTTTTGTAAAAAAAAAAAAAAAAAAAAAAAAAAAAAGAGGCTTTACCAATACGGGTGATTAATTATATTTAACTTGAACAAGAGAAACCATGGTGAGTTGTTGGACTAAAGTGTTCTAAGTATTTTATTTAAACAGCCCAATATTAACTGATATTTATGTTGGAGCTGTAGCATGGGTGAAGAATGTTTGGTTATTTTTTTATGGCCAAACTGGGAAGTGTTATGAAAAATGTTTTTGTTTGAGAAATGTTGTATTAAGTATTACACCTTTACTCTTCTATGTACTGTGTTACAAAAGAAACTATTTTAAAACACAGGCTAGCAGAAATGATCACATCTGCCTCAAGAGTGGCTTCTTGCCAGTGTAAGAATATGGGGAAAGATATTTCTGAAATTAAAGGGCAAACTAATTTTCTACTCAAAGAGGAACCTATAATCTGAGTAAGTAGCTAAACCAAAATTTACTCTGAATTCATAGTGTGCTTGTTTGATAATGGAGATTCTAAAAGGTCTGTTTCGGAGACCTGTGATGATGGCAATAGAGAAAGCAATAATCTGTACTGGTGGTTTGGAGAGGAATACAATGCTTTTAGGGGAAATGCTAAATATGTATTTCATCTTGAACAACATCAATCTGAGTGGAATTTGCAGTACATCAAATGGGGCCTGTATTACTGCTCATTAAAAAAACCCAATAATACAACAAAACAAAAATCAAACTGAATGCCAGCTCAAGCCTTTTCCCTTGTTAAAATATAATTTCTAGGTTGAACTGGTACTAAACCAAAATAAACTGCGTGTTGGGGCTGAAAGGAAGATGGTGGAAGCGTAGGATAACCTGAAGAGGCTTCCTTACAGTGTGAACTGCTGATAAACTATTGTACAGATTAGCCAGAGGTGGGAACAGGGTAGGGTTGGAAAATTGAACAGACAGAAAATAGTCTGTGAAAAGGCTGATCAAGTCGGGAATGCCATAGTATTCAGTTTACTTGGATGAAGCCAGATGTTTCGGAAGAACAACTGCATCCGTGGCTGAAATGGGAATATTTTTATTGGTGCTAAAGTGGCATGACAGTGACTTGGAAATTGTGGATTAAAATCCTAAAATAGTAATACTGTTTATAATTTGTTATTATTGATCTTCAAGACTCTTGGAAGTGGTTTATTAGCATTAATACTATCATGAAGTACTTGCTAGGACTATGCCTGTGGGAGCATAATCCTGTTTTTGCTGAACTAAATGGTAAAGACTTCCTCTAAACTCAGCGGTAACGTGACCAAGACCCACAGAAAGGGGTCATGTGCAACAAAATACAAAATTTTTGAAACTGCTGTTGGATTATTTTAGATATCCACGGGAGGATTATTTAATTTCAGAGATCCCTTAGATGCATCAGTTTGAAGATTTGAAAGGGCAATATTTTCATATTCCTCTCGTGACGCTGAGCATCTGCAGCGGTGAACTAATACTATCAAATCCTTCTGAAAATTCTTGTTGAGAAATCCATAAAAAATGGGATTGATACAAGTTGAGATCATGGCCACAAGGTGGCATATTGTAAATGCTAGATTATGATTACAGCTCATTAGCGCCTCATAGTTCCAATCAAAAACAACATTGAATATATTGAGAGGCAACCAGCAAGCCGCAAAAGTCACAACAATTGATATCAACATCAGATTAATCCTTTTGTTCTCACTCAGTCTGCTCTCATTCTCTCTCATCCTGTCTATTTTACTGTGTCTCCTCCAAAGACACACAAATATCCTGAGATAGCAGATAAAAATAAATCCCAGTGGGAAGCAGTACTGGAAAAACAGCAGAGTAGTGGTAAAAATCAGTCGCTCTGTAACAGACGGCCATGCTTCAATGCAAGCAACCTTGTTCTTGTAGAAATCACTATGGAAAGACAGATGTTTGAAGGGTTCATCAGTTAGCTGGTGAAATATTAAAAAAGGAACGGATATTATGAGGGAAAACCCCCAGGTGAAAAGAATTCCCCAGTAAGCGTGTGAAATATTAGGCTTCCAGCCACGTGGGTTCACAATTAGCTGGTATCTCTCGATAGCAATCAGTACAAGTGAGCAAATGGAGACGGTGACAGATACGCTTTGTACAAAAGAAGTTATTTTACACATAGCTTCCCCAAATATCCAGTAGTCCATTAAGGTATACGCAACTGTGACAGGAATACACATGATACAGATCAAGATGTCTGATAAAGAGAGGTTGGCAATCAAAACGTTGGTAACATTTTGAGCGTCTTTCCGTCTCTTTATTAGAACCATCAGGCAAAGATTTCCAAAAAGCCCCACTATTGTAACTAATGTGTAGGCTGTAATGAGCAAGAATTCTGCAAGGAAGGAAGGTCGGCATGTATCAAAGTTCAAAAACTGAGAATAGGTGATGTTAGAGATAGTTTGATTAGACAGAATCTCACTGGAGTGCTGAATGGCTTTATCCATCGTGAGGCATCTCCCAACCTAGGGACAAAACCTAGTATTATTTAAATATACTTTGTATGGATCTTTCCAAGGCAATGATTACTATGAGTCTATTGTTGTAGCTGGTGTCCTTGAAGTTTTGAGCAATATCATTAATTACAGCAATGGAAAAGCCAGTAGCTGAGTATTAGTGGGTTTGTGGGTGTATATATATATATATATGGAGGTTGATGCTACATTTCTGAGGTTCTGCACTGACAGTGTTACAGACCCACAACTGATTGTGATGTATAAGAAACAGCAATGATAGCTCTGGTTAAACTTGTGTGAACATTTTCATACGAATCCTCTTTTGCCAACTGTGAATAAACTTTGCTTTTGAAAATAGAATATTTTAAGATCTGTCTCAGCTGAAGATTTAGCAAGGTTTAAAGAATTCCAATGAGGATAATCTGTTGCTTTTTTATTGTCAGAAAAGAAGAATTGGGTCCTGCCATCACATTGCTAGCTCAGACATCACACTTATATTTTCTCTAGAGCTACAAAGCAATGTGAGCTAATACACCAAATCCCTCTGGTTTAGTCAAAAGGATGTGTGCTTGAGCTTAAATGATATTCAACACCTCTATGAATGACATCTTTAAGAGAATTTCCTGTTCTGCTTACGTATTAAAGATAACGTGTCCTTTTTCCTCAAGCTAATCTGAGAAAAATGTAAACCAAAGATCATGTCTTAGTTATACACACAATTATTTCCATAGCAGTAGTTGCCAAAGGTTGTCTCATTTCCCTACACAGCGTTCACTGTTGTACAAGTTTGACAAATGATACCCCCCCCCCAAATTTTCTGTCGCTAAATACAACATGTACTTAAGAGACACAGAGCTGATTCTTCTTTCAGTTCTAACTTAAACAGGTGTCAAGCAAAAATCTGATATTAGTACAATTCTGTTGTTTTAAAACTAGTATTAATGGGAAGAATTAGGTTCAGCAGAATATCTTGATGGGTTTGAATTTATCACCGAGTTAAAAAGCTAATCTTAAATCAAAGGCTCACCAGCTTTCTGGCCAGAAAGAGGTTGTTTCCAACCTGGGAAAGGAAAAAGAAGGATGTAAAGAGTTACTTTTAAAACTGAAAGATGGATAAGTATGTTCTACACATATACCTTTCAAAACTCAACTCTAACTCACCTTAGTTCCTTTTTGAAGTAGGAATTATTGGAAAAGTAACTGGAAGGAGGTCATTCTTCATTCCTAGTAATAAATACCATAGTGTGGAGAACCTGTGGAGAAAGGAGGATGAAGAAACAGTGGGAAGTTAAAAAGGATGCACAAAAAGAAGGGATGGGTGGGTGTTTTATTGTTACTAGAAATAATCTGTTTATGTGTAGAAGATTTGTCAACCTTTTTATAGAAGTGATTGCCATTATTTAGTCACTCAGGAATAGAAATTGTTTGGTTGCTTGCATGAGATTAAACACCATATCCAGAGTTAAACTGGCAACTATGGTTCTGTGACTATTTTCCCCCAGGCACTCAAAGAATATTCCAGCTAGAGTTACATCTTAGACTTCTTTATCCTGGTCTGCTTGACATAAGTTTGGGTGCTTCAAATTAAGATTCTAAAAAAAAACCCCAAACCAATACAACCACCTTTGGAGCATCTATTGCCACTCTTATTCTGATTAACATATACTTTTCAACTAGTTGTAGTCATGTTGGAGTGAGAAGTGGCTGTAGATTTATGTGACTATATGTGACCCTGATGTTCCAAATATGACTCAATTTGTGGTCAAGAGCTAACATTAAGCCCTGTAGTCTCCCTAAATCACCCGTCTGGCCTGTTACAGCAATATGGAGGGACCAGCATAGAAACCTGTACAATCCCTCTGCAAAAGTTACTGAAGTCTAGTTTCTCAGAAAGACTTTGTGGTCTCTCACAGGTGTCTCTACTCCAGTAGTACGGGAGCAAGAGCTGTGTACCCTACCGGGTGTGCTCCAGCTTGCAGAAACTTTTCTCCTGTTGAGCCCAGGAGAAATGAAAAGGATTCATTCCGAAGGCAGCACAATCACACCCTGCAGAACCCGACGCTGTGGCTGGGCAGCAGCACCTTCAGGCAACGTATTTCCTGGAATGCACCATAAAGCACTTTTCCCTGGAGCAGCACTAATTACTGGCTGGATTTATCACACGGAAGGATGCATGTGCTGGAAGAAGAAGAGGCCAACAAGTGGTAAATGTTGCCCTGATGAGTTTTGCTGCCACTTTAGATGTGTAAGAGTCTAAAGTCTGGCTGCTTTATCCCATGGGTGATCTTTCTCTTTGCACAGCCTGTGGTATTCACCTGACTCGCACAGATCTGAGCCCTGCCCTTTGAGAAAAGATCAGGTCTTAGCAGGGGGGACCTGGCTTGGAAGCAAGATACCTTCAAAGACAAGCTCTGCTCTTCCCTGCTTTTTATGTTAGCAGGAGAAGCTGTGGGGACTCAAAAGACATGGGGCTGAGCCAGGCTTGCAATATTTTATGCACTATTTGCTACGCTCGCTTATTTATCCATGATTGCACAACACGGTTTGATAGTGAGTGCTGAATGTCCTCTCCCAAGAATTCAAAGTGGGTGGCAGGGCTTCTTTGGCACTTTCGACCATTAAGGAAAAGTCCCTGTACGGACCTTCTGATCAGTTCACTCTCTATATTACCTCATCTATTAGATCATCTACATTGTCCTTTTTTTTCCGGAAAAATATTGATTTCTTTTCACTGTTTGTACTGTGAGTTAAAAAGTGTAGTCTTTAGTACATGTCATACTACAAGGCGATTTAAACATTTCCTTGGCGATAAAACAATTACCCCTGTCTCGTTGAAATATCAGGAATATGCATAGCGTTAGAAAAAATAAGTTACACTAGTACTTACTGCAGCATGTTGAACTCCATTGTAATACATACTGGCATTTTTTTTAAGCTAATAAATATTAGTGGAATCAGCGTCTTTGAGCTGCAACTACAGCTGATACCAGAATTGGATTGAAGTGTTCAGTAAGAGAACTAATTACTTCAATCCCTAATCCATGCATTTTGAAAAAGATTCTGTACCACAGTCAGAGTTTAACACTATAAGAAATGATAATCCACTTAGCCTGGTTGTTTCATTCTTCTAGATGCAGAAACATTACTGAAATGTGCCTAAGCAAAAAAAAGTTAAAAGCATGGTCTCAAATAAAATTAGTTTTGAAAAGGCTTTTTTTTTTTTTTTCTTTTTCCTAAGTATTTTCTTACCTATGTCAAAGATGCATAGTCCCATCCCTTCAAAGTGACCAGTAAATGTTTTGGTTGCAAACATTGTTTGTTGATTAAGTTCCAGAGTATTGCACAGATAAAATCTGGAGGATAATTTGCATTCAATGTTAAATATAGGAGGTACAGAATACAATAATCCTTTAAAAATATATATTTCAGTAAGTTTTGCCACAGTTTTATGGATTTTCTGACTTCTTACCTGATGAAAAATTCAAGTCATATCCACACTGTCATTAACAATTTTTCTTTTCCCTTTCTGAGTTAATTACAAAGCCAGCAAACACATCTCCTTTGTGTATAAAAGAATCCAAAGCAAAGCCATCTGCTGCTAAAGCGATACTTAAACTCTCCTTTCTTCTCTTTCTGAAACAAACCACAGTTTCACAATTTCCAACTGTGACCGAATCCACCAGTCTGTAGAAAGGCTGCTGAGGAATAAAACAAGCTCTGGAATCCAAGAAGAGGCGAACAGCAATGAGCAGGGAGGAGAAAGGACCAGTAGTCATGGGGATGGATTTTTCTCCACTGTGCAGCTTCCCTCCGCCCTGTCAAACACCTTATCTTACAATTGCATTTTCAATTATCTTATCTGTTCTGTAGTGCAAATGTTTTCCCTATGTTGGATTTCATACATAAACATCTGCAGATGTCTTATTGCTTTTTTAACTGAGGGAGATATGAAAATACAGTAAGCTGCCTAGAAAGAACATGCACACCCTATTAAGTGTATCATTTTCTCTGTTGCAATTAAGATAATCTTATTTTCATTATAAATAGCTATTTTAGCTTTTACTCCAGAGATATAAAAATATTCCTAAAAAGCAAAGCATGGCACATTACACTGGCACAGGTTGAAAAGGGGCTTTAATATTTTTGCTGTTTTTCCAGTAAAAGCCCATACCTTTTGTAGCTGCTTGTTTATAAAAATTAACGTTCAACATTTCCTTATGAAATATTTAGAGTGGATGTTTATGGGAGAGAAAGATAACTGGTCTTACTTAGGACGTGATAGTTGGTATATTGCTTTTTAAACCTGAAACCGTACGTGGGTCCACTTAACCCCCAGTATCCCAATCTCTTACGCTGAACTGTGCTGTGGCTCTCCAGTACTAGAGAAAGCAGAGGCAATAGGAAATAGTCCAGGGTTAGAATGTGTCTGTGTGGGAACAGACTCAGGAAACTAGATTATGATTCCCTGTTAAATTAGAGAAGTAGAAACTTGCAGACAAAACATTTGAGAGGGTACTGGAGTCTGTCTTAATGCATCTGTGTTTTCAGAGAGAAAGATTATGAAAAGCAGTAGGATTTTGGGTTGAGCAAGACTGATGCTGTACCTTGAGTGCAGTTAGAACTAATTATATGAAAATACGGTTAGTTATCATGCTGTTGTGTTTGTAGAAAATAAGGGTGGAGGGAGACTCTGAGATCAGCCAGACAAACTGCCTGCTTCCAGTGTATTTGTATTTATTCATGATGTGTTTGTCTAACCTGTTTTTTAAACATCCGTGGCAGTCCTAGATTATGTATTCGAGTGACTAATTTACTGTTAGGAAAACTTCCTTAACCCTTCCCCCTAAAATGTCCTTCACTTTAATTTAGCCCATTGCTTTTTATTCGGAGTCATCTGTGAATTCTGAAATTTTAAGCAACGTGCTACCATCAGGCAATGTGAATATACTTTTCTAAAGTATTTCTAGCACTTGCTGGTTTTGATTATGTCAAAAATACTATAAAAAAAAAAGCTTTTCCAAAGTACTTCAGAATTTCCGTGGCTGGTTGTAGTGTAACCCAAGAAGTGAATCAAGACCTAAAAATGAAATGTGCTAGATATACATCAGAACGGGCCATAAAAATGCATTATCTTGTTTATAAAGGAAATAAGTCAGTAAAACTAAAATATGTTCTGATTCTTTATATAAATTTCAAAAAGGTCAGGCTGCTGATTTACATAGGCTTCTGTTTCTAATGTAACACTGTATGCAGTCCTCCATCTGTGGAAAGACTGAAGTGTTTAATGTGTGATCCCCTCGGTTTTACAGTCACATCAATCTGCTGGATTTAATTTTGTGGTAACCTGTTGTGAATTAGACCACATCCGACATCAGAGGCCTGTGGGTGTAGCTGTTCTTGGTCCGTTTATGCCTGATGTCAAAGGTATGTATGCTAAGTGGAATCTATAGCTGTGTAGGAAGGGATCAAGGTATATTATTTTCAGCCAAATGCTGTAGCATCTGTTTGCAAAAAAAAAAGGTTAAGGGATAGCAGAACCGTGCTTACTTTATATAAATGATCACATTATTTCTAAATAGCTCAGTATTAAGGAAAATAGCCTTTATCAGTAGACACTGAGAACTAACTGGAAGGCAGGACTGCAACTGTAGTGAGAAGCAAACTTTATATGTAACTCAATTACAAAAAGTTAAAATATATTGCAGATGACTGCTATTGGCTTGCCAATGTCGAGTGTAAATTTAGTAGCTCTGCCTGTGTGGGATTTCAGCAGTTCAAAGATTACTATAATGTAGGAAATGGTAGGAATTTTATTATGATTTTAACGAGTTTTATCAGGGATTTCTGTCTCAGTTTGCAAAACAAACAAATGAACAAAAACCCCTTAAAACAATCAGTGTACCGATTCTTGCTACACTGAGTGCCAGTCATAATACTGATACCTCACCACAATCAATCCAATAAAAGCCTGATCCTAAAAGCTTTCCAGGTATGATATTCACACTGAAATCGATTGGAACATCTTTTCCAAGCATCTGGTTATAGGGCAGCTGGAGGCATGACTTCAGCTTGTGCAGATGCTCCCAAGCCAGTTTTAGGGCAGGTAGTGATGGAAGCAGAGAGCTCAGGGCACTGTCAGCCAGCTCACTGGCCCGTGTCTAGGAGCGCAGTCTCATCTGATTCCAGTGCAGGCTTGCTATTACTGTGGCTCCCAGGCTATGGCAAACAGACCACGGGCAGTGTGGAAAACCAGGGTGATGAGGTGATAAACAGATTTTCAAACTTTAAGTTTGTAATAACGTCTGTTGCGTTGGCAACAGCCTGTTGGTGAAAAATTGTCCAGCATGTAAGTACTTTGAGTTCACCTTCTGCTTTGGCATTTACATGATTCCTTGCCCAGCAGGAAGCTTTGCTGATGGCTGACCACTCTAAGCTTTTGCTTTTGCTTATGATGCTTAGTTTCTTCTCCCGTGTAGCTCTGCAGCAGTCCTTGTTCCTACCTGGTGCAGCCCCCTTCTTCAGAAAGCAAGGTTTAGTAGAGATGTATACATACAATTTCTCAGCTTCCTAGGTGAAAGAGTTCTTTAAAAGCAGTTTGGCTAAGAGCTGGTTCAGTGACCTGTAACATCTCTGAAGGGTCTGGAATATTTCTTCCTAATAAATATTATTCTTTATAGCACTTCAAAGAGGCACAGAGAAACAAGCAACAATAATTGGAAATCTCTTATGTGCCGGTTAATGTCAGGAAAGTAAGATAATATGCTATGATGGAGGAAAACCACAGTCCTTTCACATTTTCCTGTTTCATGGAGAGATCTACACCCTAATAAGGTACCTTTGGCAAATAGGTTATAATTTGACCAAATTAGCAACATCTGAACACCAACTAAGTATGCACTGTAAATTTTTCTCCAAAGATCATGCAGATAAAGAAAGATTGCTGAATATGTGTAAGTTGGAGCACTGCTCCATGATACAGAATTCTTTTCCTAATTGGAAAGAAAAAAAAAAAATCACAAAAATTACTCAGGTTCACTACCTGGAGTTTAGGTTTCACTCCCTTGTATTGCATAGCTCTAGTGAATAGCTTTGCAGTATCCTTGATGCTTCATTCTGGTCCGTGCCTCTCAACTAGGTCATGCCTAAAATAAAAAGTCAACTGTTTTACAATCTGCTTTAACTTTAAATGAGTTACTTATAATATCATAGTCATTCTTAAATTGTATCATGCCACGAACTTTCGGCTGATTTTCTGGACCTTATTCAGCTGGCATACAGTTGAGATGGAGATTGATACACTCCCTGGCTGGAAGGTTAGCATCTTTATTTTTTGGGTCAGCCAAGTTACTTTTCTTACTGAAAAAAAAGATATGTGAGTAATTGTAACAGCAGTGTGAGCGCATTAATGAATATTTTATAATAGTTTCCATTTTCCAAATCCTGATTCAATCCTTTGTAGCTTTCTAGAACTTCTCCAGCTGATGTTTTCTAAAAGTGATCTCTGCCAAAGAGTGAGTTATTTCAGTAGGTCACAGATTTGGGGGGAATATAATAATTTGTATCTCTGGTGATTTCTTTTTTTCCATTCTACAGTCTTTTTATAACAACACTGTGAGCACCAAACCCTGCTGTTCTCATGCCATGACATCTTTCACTGTCCTAATTGTTAATTAAGAAATACTTAGATAATCAAAAGGTTAATGTTTCAATTTTCCTGCATGTTTAAAACTGTAATAACAGTTTTAGTTTTCTGAATTAAAAATATGAATTCTATACTGCTATTTTGTGTCTAGTAAGCCTCACTTTTATGCACTACCTGATTTTAAAATTTCTTGAATATCATGGATGTCCTACAGCTAATTTCAGGCAGGTACATACTGAACTTCATGGCGTAACTCTTCCTGCTGTTTTCAAACAAAGCTAAATGTCAGTTATGCAAAAGCACCACAGAAAACACCCTACAGAGGTTCTACAGAATGAGAAATAGATGGGGGCTAGGAATAGCTAAGGGAAAGAAAAAGAAGATTTTAATTTAACTGGAAAATACATAAAGAAAGATTTGCAGATGAAAAAGATCAGAGGGTGGCTGAGATTGCTGTTAGCTCCAGGTCTTCCTTTGGCAAAACTTATGATCCTGGTCTGTCTTAACGAAGGTATAGAGAAAGATCTACCCTCTCACTTGTGTCACAGCATTGCTAGGTTCTTTGATCCTTGACAAGAATCTTGACTTTTCAGACTGAATTTTGCTGTCTTAGTTTCATCCCATCACTCCAAATTACGGCCAGCTCTTATATAAACTTTTAGGAAAGAGAAGAAAGGAAATCATCAATTACGATAGAAAAGTGAAAAGATGAAAGAGGAAAAGAGAAACTGAGTTTCAGAGGGAAGAGGAGGAAGGGCAGGATTTAAGAAAAAATGGTAATGTAAGTCCAAAGAAAAGGATGCAAATTCAATTCTCTGATGACTTCGCTTCACCCTTCACAAAGGTGTGTTTCTCTCTTTCAGCACACTCCCCTTACGAAGGGCTCAGGGAAGATTTTGTTCAGTGAGATGAACTTTTGATACTACTTACTAAAGAAACAGTTCTTGTGGGTTATTCTGTAACTACCTTTTTATCTGTAGAATATCTTATTTTGCATTAAGCAAATAAAAGAGAGGTAGTGTTCTATTCCCCATCTGAATTTGCACAGGGTAGAAATTTTTATCCTGATGAGTGTCATGCTCAAACCTTAGGTGGG